GACTTCAAGTTGCCGAGGTTGAGAAACAACTAGTCTATCCGATGCCAATCGCAGAGCAGACCTGGGTGAAGGAGCCCTGCTCCCCACTCCTGGTTCAGATGGTCACAGAGAAGCGGTGCACGAGGCCACGTGGATCACCCTGGGCTGCCAGAGCTCCCCAAATTAGACAAGCTGCCATGGGGCGCTGATCTGGCATGGTACACACACATGCACACCGTTTTCACTCTCAAGATTACAGGTGTCAGCATTTCTCCTGGTCAGTGTTTCTTTTTTTTTTCAAAAGTAACCACGGCAGGATTGAAACTAGATCTGTGAAGAGGACGTGGTGGGGCACCTGGCTAAGGATGACTCCCCTTGCCCTTCCTCTCACTTAGCTGCTGGTGGCAGGGATGCAGGGGCTGGGGGGGGACCAACACGTCATGAGGGCCTTTGAAATCGTACAAGGCACACAAGGAAGTGGAAAAAGCGGGTATTTTTTTCTCCCTCTCTCAGGTGTGTAAGAACATGAGGTTAATTAATAAAAAGGATCGGCAGCACATCCAAAAAGTTGTTCCTTTGGTCCCGCCCAACAAACTCTGCGTCCGTCTGGCCTACCTGGGAGCTTTTTAGAAACTCCTCCCAAACTCAACAACTTGAAGCCTCTGCTGTAGCTCTTCTGGTTTACTGGCCAAAGAAGTGATATTGGTCAAGAGGCAGTTCTGGGTATCTTTCTTACGGAGCAGCCTGCAGGCCTGTCTTGGTTCTTAACGGAATTCAACCCATGAGCCACAGCCGAGTCTCCCTCCCAGTCAAGCACCCAATGAGCCGAGAGTTCACTTCCAGCATCTTGGGATTTCCCCTGTCCTTCCCAGACGGACTGAACCAGCGCTCGTCTGCCATTCTTTCAATCCCCAGGATTGCACGGCAGGTTTAAAGAACTGAACCGAGTGCGAAGTCTGCCTTCCTGCACACTCCAACGCACCTTGCGGGGACCGAGTCTGGAATGCTACGGAGACCTGTCCTGTTCTGTCCCCAAGAAGCAGCAGCCGAGACACTTCTTGATGCCAGTAAGGCCACCCCTAAAGCAAGGGCTCCACGAGATCCCAATTTGGGCATCTCTCCTGGGCCAGAATGCCAGCTCCTAACCTTGATGGGCATGTGCAGGAGAAGAAATACTTCAAACTCCCTTCATGGAGTGCTACACAGATCCCCCAAACAGCAGAGCTCTATGTTTAAAGTGGAACTTGAGTATAAAAAGATCCACCCAAGGTTTCCCGTGAAGGAAGGGCAGGATTTCCATATAAACAGTAGATGGACGTTTTCCAGGGTCCCCGACACCCCTCCGGCCTGTGGTCAACCTCCCTAACTGGTGGCGGCAACATTATGAAAAGCCGTGAGCGCTCAAATGCTGCGGGGATGGGGGGATCACAACCACCGGCGGAAACTGGGGGGATCCTCTGTGGTTTGCTTTGCTTCTGCGCCTTCTTCAGCCAACGGTGCCGAATTCCGACACGGAGGAAGAAGCTGGTTTCCCCGGGAAGCCCAACGTGGTAACGTGGAACAGCATCTGCCTCCCTGCATCCTATTTCCTGACAGAAGAGCTGCATGGGACTAATAACCCCACGGCGGGACCTTGCGCGCGCACACGCAGCCTGACAAGATTGGGAGAGAGAGACGCAGCTCATCTCCTGCTGGGGTTAATTCGCTTACTCCTCTTGCCCGCCCGCCGCAGTCCTCCCCAATGGCCCTCCTCCTCCTCCTCTTCTGATCTGGTTACCCCCCACCCGGCCCAGCTCCCCAAAGACCCATCACTCACTCTCCAGACGCTGAACAACGGCTTTGTCCTTTATGGCCACCTCTGCGCTGATGTTGAGGGACTCTATGGGGATGTAGAGGACGGTGCGACCCTTCATCTTGGAGCGCGTGTCTGGAGGCGGAGAGGGCGGAGGAGAGTCTGTGAACAGGACCTTTCGCTGGTCCGTGGCTGCCCTGGAGGGGGAAGGACAGGGCTTCTCCCCACGGCCCCTGCGTCTCATTCCTCGCCCCTCAAGTGAAACACCCCAAATTATTGCAATCATCTGGAAGGCAGACAGAAGACTGGCTGCCCCTGAGTTATCCCCAGGCCTTCCTGGAACCATGGCCTGCGTCCATCTGCTCCAGTCAGCGGCAAGAGGCCAGTAACAACCACCGTGCATGAAAAGCACCAGGCTGCGAGAGGAACGTCAGGGAGCTGAGAGCTGTACCAACAAATCTGCGCACGGAGGTTGACCCAATGTGAAGAGTGGGAGAACCTTACCTGTGAGAGAGGTCATGAAGTGATAAATTTCTGAGAAAAATTCATTCTTTATGCTTTCTGGCCAGGACGCTTTGCGAAACAGCCGGGGCAAATAGATAGAGTTGAGCATGCGCATCAGCGAATCTATGTAGGGCTTCCGGACAGTCCCAAACTGAACCACTTCGTGGAAATTCTCCTCCGTAATTTCTGCGTTCTCTTGGCGGATGAAGTAGGTGAGCTGTTTCTGCTCCTGCAGGGAGAACACTGAAGTCAAGACAGAGGACGAGGGCCTAGAACATGACTTCCCATCACCACCTCAGACCTTCTGAAAAGCCCAAGATCAGGCATGGGGACCTGTCCTCCATCTTCCGCAATGAACTCCAAGGCAGGGAATTCACTCAGCCCTCATCTACTAAGAGAAGATTCACGATCAGGGGCTACTATTCATGAGAGCCAGACAGAGTCACCAGGGACGGCGCTGAAGAGCAATTGCTGGAGAGCAACATCGGGGAAGGGCCTCCTGATGGTCGTTATGGAAGCATCTGGTTGACTGCACAGTAACCTAGATGGACCCATTTGGTCTGGTATTGTCGTTTTTCTGGCGACTGAGGAAAACTCGGTCTCCCCTTTATCGTTTCCCCTCCCAGATGGAGACGTCCTCGGAGGGCCCAGGGCATGCCAACCTGATGGGGCATGACAGGCTCCACTTTCAATCCAGCGAAGTCATCAATGTAAAATACGAGCATTGGCCTGGTGACATCCTTAAGGAACTGGTCCATGGTGGCCAGATGCTCTTCCGTCCACATCTCTTTCCGGAGGCCAGACAAGGCCAGCCGGTTTTGGAGGCAGGGTTTCTGCACAGAGGGGGAAAGGGAAAGGCCACAGTTTGGGAAAAGCAACCCAAGCTATTCTGTCCTCAGAGGGGGGCAATTTTTATTGGACGGCCTTGTGTCTTGCCCATAATAGAAATTACCTACTGTACCCAATCTTGCTACTGTTCCAGGTATTGAGGAGGCTATTACGGGAAACTGGGCCTGATTCAGCGTCAGGGGTCTATCACCTCCTTCCCTTCCCTTCTAAGATCCCTCTCCAGGGGAATCTACTCCAAGGATAGTGAAACTCAGCCACCCTGAGGGGAAACAGCCTGGGGAGAGGTAGGATCTATTGTTTCCCCCCTGCGTTGCAGTCTTGGAAGGATTTGAATCAACTTCTCCCCACTGCGTGCTCTTAATCCCGATCGCACATACACCCACACGAGCTGCGACTGAAATCAGAAAAAACAACGCAATGCAATGAACACGTTTTCCGGTGCGCCCGGCAGCGCCTGGTCCCGCAGCCTCCGCGCAACCAGCCAGTATGCCCCTAGGAGGCCCCCGGGCCTGCCTGGGGAAGCTGGTCCCACTGCATCTCCCCCTAGTTCAACTGGACCCCCACAGCAGCCCTCAGTGAGAGACGGGAGGGCGAATTTGTTCCGATGATGCAAAGGGTTCCTGCAGATTGTGGTCCTTTGCTGTTCGAGGAAAAGCAACTGGGGGAAAGTCAGTTAAGGACAGGGACAGTGAAGATGGAAAGGGATTTTTCAAAGGAGAGGAGCCTTTGCCCCAAATATAGCAAGTCCCCTCCCCTTATTCCTAAGAGCTTCTCCAAGAAAACCTGGGAAATCAGGATCAAATTAGCACAGCATCTGGTGTGGAAGTGCAGAGCCAGATGTGCTGGGCCGTAATGCAACGGAACTGTGGAAGATTGCAACCAGAAATCCTCCCCCTTCTGCCTGCCCTTGTTCTCTGGGTTTTCTCTTAGAGGAGGAAGGGGGGGGGGGCGCGGCACATCCAAGCTACTGCCTGTTGATAGGGAAGGGCTTTTATTTATTTATCGTATTTATATAGCCGCCCGTCTCACGTAAAAGGGACTCTCCCTCTCCCCTTTGCAAAACCGCTGGCCAGCAGATTCGATGCCAGGGCGGCACGCCAGGACTTCTGACAGCGGCCTCGCCCCACAGGGTCCCATCTCAGGACCTTGGTCTGGGGCTGCTGGACCCTGGATGGAACGGGGCTTCGGCCGCGGCCACCGAGGCAGAGGGGCCACATCCCCAGCTGCCTACCTGGTGCCCAGAGTTTAGCTGGGTCCTGCTGGCTGAGAGGGCTCCAAAAAGGGCGTCTCTACCTGCTTCCTAGAGACCCGGCCGGCCCCAGCCGCGGCCAGACCTTTCCCCGCGAAGAGGCCAGGAAGCCGGCTTCCGGCCCACCTACCAAGTCCACCTCTTGCTCCGCAAGGCTGGGAGGAAGGATAATCTCCACCGGACTCTCTTCCGGCTCTTCCAGGAGCAGAACTGGAACTTGCTCTGGGGGAGGGCGAAAAGACAAGGCTCTGGTCAGGGTGGGGTAGTGGGGAAGACCCTGGACTAAGAATGGGGGGACAGAGTTTGAGTCCCCCTTGGGGGAATAGGGGCCAATCCCTCTCTCTTTAGCCCAGCCTACCTCACAGGTCTGTCGTTTGGGGAAGGTACAGGGAGGAAGGGCTATGTCCTCCTGGGCACCTGAAGGAAAGGCAGGGCGCAAATCTAACCAAGTAACTGAGAATCAGGAGCGCACAGACAGCGCGGGGGCCGAGGACGACCACCAAGGTGCCCCCCTTGTCATTCCCAGCAACTCTCAAAGGGCCCAACAAAGCCTAGCGTTCCACAAGGTCATGAAGGGGGGGGGGGGGTGTTTACATTTAACCTACCAGGGGCTGTCAATGGACTGATTTTTATGCAAGGGTTCCTCCAGAGCTGAACATTATTTCAAGGTTCCTCCAGGATGAAAAGGCTACGGAAGGCTGGTCTAAAGGAGCAGGAGACCCTGTGACCCCAAAGGTGCTCGAGGGATCAGACGAAAGGCGGCCATCCGCAGGAGCCGAGAGACTCTGCCCTCCCGAACCACCCGAGATGCCTCCTCCTGGCCAGGCATCACGTTCACCCCTGCCTTTACTTGCCCTTGCCCTGGCCCTGCAGCTGCCAGGCCGTTTCAGAACCAGACCCTCCCACGGGGCAGGAGGATCCCGCCAACCTCCCCCAGTGGCGAGCCTCCCCCCAGTCCAGAAGCAGCCCGGGGCCCTCTTCTCGGATGTGGGGGGGTGGGCATTGCCACGGAGCACTAAGAAGCCTCTCCTGATCCGTCTCCTTTGCAAAGAAGGAGAGTGCCTAAGGGAGCCCTCGAGCGCGGCTCAGCTCCTGGCGACTTCACAGAGGCAACCATGCCACTGCCTTGGCATCAGCAGGCAGGCGAAGGAGGAGACCCCAGGCAGCCCTTGCCCACGGGAGCATCCGGCCCCTCTTACATGGCATGGCCAGGAGCACACCTGGCGAGACCTGGATGCCAACATCCCTGCAAGAAGGAATAAAGGCAGAGGCTGGGCTGGGAATGCCCCCCGACTAGCCCGGGAGAGCCCCGGTCAGCTGCAGCGGGCTAGAGACCACCCACTCTCCAGGGAGAGAAAATCAAGCGGCCCGCGTTGTTTCCAACTGCAAAAACGGTCCCAAACGGCAGCCAAGAAGGGCTCAGCAGTTGCTGGGGTCCAGATACCCTCAGTTAAAATCAATACCCTGTTTTTAGCCCCGCTGCCTATTCCTGCAAGGGCAAAATTGGAGCAAAAGCGAGACCTGGCGGGCCACTGTGGCAGGGCACGCAAACTTGCTACCTTGGAGAATTGGAGGTTAAAAAAAAAAAGAGGTAAGGGAGCTGACTGTACGTATTGCCCAGTGGAGCATTATTGATGTTGCAAATGGAATATAAACAGAAGGAAGGCTACATCTGCCTCCCCTGAAGCAGCCTGGCTCACTCACTCGAGCTATCTGAACTCAAGTGCGCCTTCCTCATGTTTCACATAGGCACCCTCCAATTCCCACTGTAATTAAAACTTCCCCTCAGAAATAAGCTACAGAGAGTGTCTGATGGCCTCTTAGGTCACCCACTCGTACAAAACCCTGCTTAAATTGTGAACTGATTTCTAAAACTCATGGAAATCTTTCAGGGACAAGTGTATTTTTAACCAAGGTGTCTGGAACCAGGGCCAAGCGTGGATTCTTGCTGGCATATCAGAAAAGCCCCCAAGATTTATCTTTTTTCAATTTAATCTTGTGGAATTTGGAGAGAGAACTCAACTCTTCTTCAGAACATTTGGTGTTGTCAAACTAAATTACAATTCATTTCCCCATAAACCTTCTTTTGTGTCAGAAGTTGTCATGCGCTAAAACACTTAATGCTTATTGAAAACGGCAGTTGCAGAAGAGCTAATTCCCCCCACCCCATATACCCTACCCAGAGCAGAGGAGGGCTTGCAGGAGACAGAGGAGAGGAGGGGGGGGGGGGGGTAGAGGCCACCAAGACATTTCAGCGCCGGAGGCATGAAAATGCAACTTGCAGACTCTCACATGGGGCAGAAACCCTGCATGGAAATGAGGCTGGCTGGGTAGCCTGGCCTCCCGCGGATCCCCCCAACGCTCCCCCTATGGCAGCACTGCCGGATCTTCTGCCAAAGTCGGGGAGTCAATGAGCAGGCCCACTGCAGGGAGTCTCGGCACCCTGAGAGGGCGATGGGCAAAATTCCCGCTGCGACTCTCACATCACGCGGCGCTGACGGGACAAAAGAGCAGCGGGACGAGGAAGGCTCACCAGGGAGTCTTCTGGTACTTGTACAGGCAGTGGGGAGCCTGGGGGGGCGGGACACACCTCTCTTCCCCTTGGCTTCTGGGGCTGGAGGTGGGACGATGACATCGTAGTGGCAGAAAAGGTGGGGCTGGCTTTCAGGCCTTTTGGGGGGTTTGTAAAAAGGGAAAGGGTTGCCTCCTCTGCAGACCCCTCCCCGCCTTCCTCGAGTTGACACCAATGGGTAGGAATTGGCATTTTCCAGATGCCCAGGACTAGAACCCAAAGCCCGAGCAACTTCCAGCCCTAGGACAGTTGGCAAGCACCAGGGCGAGAAAGGCCGGATGGAGGCAACCCCTCCCCGAAAGCTCAGGGCCAGCATGGGAAGACGAAGGGCATCCATCTTCCCTCGGCCTTCTGCTCCCATCATCCGACCGGCGTGAAGGGGTGTGTGCGTGTCAGCTGCTCTTCTTACAATCAGCCTGGCCCTCACCTCTTCACTCAACTCTCTTCGCAGGTGCCAGCAGGGGAGCCAGGCTACAGGTGAGCATGCAAAGCAGAGGAAAGGACTCGGATGCTCCATGCAAAAACACGCATGAGCGAGGGGGGCCCAACCCTGCCTCTTTCCCCATCTCTCCGTGAGCAGCGGAACACAGGCTGGCTTGGCGCTCCTCACACGCATGGCCACCGGTTTCAACACTCTGGTCCAGGAGGTGCCTTCTCTGCTTCCAGGGTGAACAGGGCAAAAGCTGGCCACGACACGGGTCCCTGAGACCTCCCCTCCAGCTGTGTCCAGCCAGACTAATTGTGGGATTTTGCCACAAGGAAGTCCACATGGAAGAACAACTGTTGGGAACCTGGGGGGCCAAGGTCCCTCCCCACTGCAGGGACAGAAGCAAGGAAAGGGAGAGGCCAGGAGAAGGGAGAGCCCCAGCTTGAGAAGGGAGAAGGTCTTTCCTGAGATCTCCAGCCACAGACCACTCGCCCCCAGTTTCAGCCCTCCTGGTCTTCTTCCAGGTAACAGCGGCAGGCAGGCTGCGGACCAAGCTGAAGTTGCCAGCCAGCGCCACCTCTGTGCTCCTGTCCAGAGAGAGGAGCTCAGCCTCTTCCTCGCCCTGCGGGGGATTCCAGCTGGCATAGCCAGGCTGGGTCTCTACTCTTTCCAGGCCCAGAGGCACTGTTGGGATATGCGCATGCACTTGTGCGTGCGATCAACACCTGGGATCGACACCTGGAGCATCGTAAGCAGGTCCACAGCCAACGTCTCTCTTACGGATAGGCTGCCTGCCGTTGGATTCTTCCCTCCTTCGGCAATCGGATCCCAACCTCCCGCATCTTGCAAAAAGGGGAAGCCCAGCCAGGCAGCCTTTTCGGGGGACCAACTTCCAAACAACATTTGAGCAAGGAAGCCCCCGCCCCCAGGACTAACGCCCTAACTCTCCCTTCAGGCAATGTGGGAATTCTCATCCGAACGGGCAGTGGCACGCTGCCTTCCCACCGTGCTGTTTCCTTTCTCCTACGGATTGGATCGGAAGGAGAACTGGAGATAATGTGGCACTCGAGCAGAAGAGGGGGGGGAACGCTGCCTGCTAACCGGCTGGGAGGTCTGTCTCCACCCCTGCATTAGCACCGGAGCTTCTTGCGCACTCGGCTCCCCTTCCTCTGCTCTCCCGCTTCCCCTTCCATAATCAAGCGCCTGGCACTTGCCGCACGCCACAAACCCCCTGTGGCTTCAGCTCCCAGGCCTGCACTGGGGCTGTGTTTCCTGATTCAGGCGGCGTTTGTTTCCACACCTGTTGCACCAGATGGTAACGGGTACAGGATTAGGTATCAGCGATGCCAGGACTAAGAGCTTGCTGGAGCTCTGAAGGGGCAGCGCTGCAAATCCTGGCCAGTTACTGTGGAAACACGCAGGAGCCAGGCAACAGGTGAGGCTCTCAGAATTAGTTTAGATACACATATTCCCCCCACATATAAAGAGCTGGGGGATAGCTGGGGAAAGACCCACCACCCAAAGTGCAGATTCTACGCCGGCAAGATGGGAGGAGGAAGCGAGGGGGAAAATGTCTTTCAGAACTGCCCTTGATCACCCGCATTAATTTCAAACAGATGCAATTTATTTCTTTTTTTCATGTGAAGACCCAAATGCTTGAATCAAAATGATGTGGCTAATTATAGAGGAAATTGCATCTGTTTGACTCATCTGCATCTGCTCGTTGACGGTGGCCCTGATCCATATAAGGAGGCTGCTTGCTGAAGGCAGCATGCGTGCACAGACCTACAGGTGTATATCCGTGTCATGTTACTCCAAAGAGTGTGCACGCCCACCCACGTGCCTGGGCACACACATACACAAGTTGGCTTCCAGCCCCAGGTGTTTAGGCTCAGGATTTTTGGAAATGTTTGAAACATCACAGGGAGGAGAAAGAGTGATGGGGATCGTAAAAGCAGTGGGCCCTACTTCAACAGGGCAGTTTTTACTACTGACCCCTGGGAGAATTTGCCCTACGCCCACCAACAAAGGAGGGGATTATAAGGAAGAGGGGGGAACAGCAGGACATTTCACAACTGGGGTGCAGGTTTCCAACAACTGTCACAAACTTTCTGCCCCTCTATGAGAAAGGATGCGCCTGCGCATTAAGGATCGGATGTAAAACTGAAAATGGCACAATGACGGGCATCACATTCTGAGCTGTTCTGGTTGAGCTGTTTTGCTTTGGGGCCTGGAAAGTCAGCTTGAAAAGTGAGGGCTTCCACGCACCGTTTGGGGGCTGAGCAGACTGGCCGCAGCGAGGAACAGGGCTCCCCGTGGCTATCACCAGCGGCGTTCCCAGTGTCGTGTGGGCGACGCGGGTGATGCCCGCCACAATATTTGATTTTCTGGGGCAGAATCTGATGAGCACAAAACCCACGCAGCCCTGCCTAAGAACCAGCCTAAACTCAAAAGCATCAGGGCGTCCTGAAGGGAGGGATCACAGGGGTCTACTCAGCAGTGGCACATTCAGGATCCATAAACGGAGCTAAAACCCGGCTTGTGAAAATACCAGCAGGCTCATCAGGAATGAACGGCTGAATGGGCACTTCCTGCTTCTGGGCGGCCACCGCTGCTCCACGTCCCGCGCTGCGTCGGCCTTTCTTTTCGCCGGGCGTGCCACGCCGCCGGGCACTCATCTTTCAGCACAATTCTGCAAGACGTCATAAACATTGCAGTGAAGATAAGGAATGTAGTAAAAAGGAGGGCAGGGGGGAAGCAGGAGTAGAAAGCAAAGGGGAGCCAAGCTCTCTGCTCTTCAGCTCCCTCAAATGGCCCTTTCCCTTTCTCTCCAACATGACCCAGTATGATCTGGGGTCAGTTATGACCCACAGACAAGGGGAACTGTATTTTGGCTTAGCTGGTGTGCAAATCCATCCCCCCCCACACACCTGTTGAATGAGTTGAATTCACAACTAATGGTGGGGAAGGGCCAGAGAAGGGAGGCAGCCCCACCTCCTCCCTCCCTCACCCCACTGGCCAGCTGTGCCTTCCATTCCCCAACCAATGACCCACAGGGGCCCCCTTTTCCAGCTTCCATCCACCATCCCTTTCCTGGATGCAAGACCCCCAGCCCCTCTTTGGAGGCTCTCCTTAGCATCCTCCACCAGCCCCTGACCCAGGCAGCATGCAAGGAAAGGGAGCCCCTGCTTGTGCCCGCAGAGGCGCGGGGATTGCAACTCCCAGCAGTGCCAGCACCAGGCAGGCTCGCCAGGAATTGTGGGAGCTGCAGTCCCAGCACCTCTGGGGAGCGCCAGGTTGGAGAAGGCGGCTCTCACCACTACTCCACCTGCACTCAGGGTCTTCCCAGCAGGCGCTGCTCGCCCCGTCACGCTCCCTTCGCCTCCACTGCCCCTCCCTGCTTGACGAGCCCCCTTCCCACCTCCTCCTCGCCCCTTCTTCCACGTGCACGCCCCCCCTCCTTCCCCGGCTCCCAACTTCGCACCTGTCCCCCCTCCAACTGCAAAGGAGCTTGGTCTCTCCCAGGACTCCGCCCCTCAGCAACGTTTCCACGGGCAACGGATCAACGATACAGGCTTCGGGGGAGGAGCTCCCGGCTGGAGCTCGCGTGGCAACCGTTGCTGAGGGTAGGAGGAGTCTCGGTCCCGTCAGGTAAGGCGGTGCTTCTGGCGATGGGCGGGAACAGTTTCTGATAAGTGACAGGAGGATGAGGCTGTGAGAGGCGAGGAGGAAGGTGCGAGTGACAGGGAGGAACAGTCGCCGCGTGAACGATAGTTCGCGCGCAATTGCGAGGCGCTGGGCGGGGGAAGAAAACAACGAGCGGCGGTTGGTGGGGAAGGGGGGGGTCGAGGGCGAGGCGGGAGGCAGCCTGTCAATCACGAGCTGCGGCTCATCTAATTGGATAACTTTGATCGGGGAAAAGAGAAACTAGACTTACCTCTAGATCCGCTAGAGGGCGCCAAAGAGCTAGAGGGCGGTGGCTCCTTGCTGCCCCCTGATGGCCGGCTGGGGGTTTGCAGTCTAGAGCTGTTAACCCTCCCCAAACTAACACAACTGGGAATAATACCTCAGAATTAAAAAGAAAATCCAATCAAGACAAAATTAGAAAAAAGAGGGAATAATAATAAGGAATAGACCGCCATCCATGCTTACAGTGTGTCCATGAGAAGAAATACAAAGATTTTAAGCATCCATGTTGAATATCTCCATCTTTGCACTCCAGAATGAAGGGAAAATTCACATTTTCGTCCCCTGATCATGTTCGGTGGCCAAAATACGCCTGAGGGAACTGCGGCTCCCGCCCTTAAAATGCCAATAATTTTAGGTTGCAAATAATCATGATAACGAACAAGATGCCCAGCATCGCCCTCTTTCAGCATCGCTCCCAGCATGCACTGCACCGAAACCGCTGAGCATCATTTGATGGTGGCAGGACCTAAATATAATCAGTACCTAAACCCCGTGCTTGGCAGAGGCCAAGGTTCAGCCTTGTGGCCCAAGTTTCTGGAGAGTAGCAGGTCGGATGCTGTTTTGCAGGACGCCCCAGCCGGATCGGGCCAAGCTCCGAGAAGGCGCAAGGCCTTTGCCGAAGGCCACGTTGACACAAATACAAGTTGAATACATTATTACTAAACAGGAACTTGGGCCGGGATAAAGGACGAGACTGGCCCAGTGTTTAGGTCGCGTGCGTGGTTGGCTTCATGGTGGTTTACTAAATGCACCCCCCGAAACGCAGCTCGCGGCTGCTGGCAAAATCGAAAATCGGGGTCCTCTCCAACCAGGGTGGTGGGATTCGAGGGCGGCCGTTGGGGAGGAGGGGGGGGGCTTT